ATCCCCCTCCATAATCTTCACCTCCCACTTTCCCAGCCACACAGTCTTCCATCCACCGATCCATCCTCCCCTCCTTCTATCCCTGCCCACTAATGCGCCCTCAATTCCCCCCTAGTCTGTACCCCCAAACTCATATGAGTCTTGATCATCCCCCCCCTTGGGGTCCTGTTCAAGCCTGATCCCCAACTGGGAAAGGCCAACGCTGCTGTGGTGTGCCACCTCCTGAGGTTCTACTGGCCAGATACACACCAGATATAGTTATTAAAGAAGACTAGGACCGATCCTCTGCAAGCAAAGAGAATGGCTTCCTCTTCTCAAAATGTGAACTCAATTAGCCAGAACCCCTTGGAAAAGGCGATCATGCGATCGACAACGAGGATCTCAAATTCCTGATAGAGAAAACGAAAGTACAAGGGATACAAACCACGAAAACACAAAATATTGATGGAAAAGAAGAACAGGTAATTGTCTGGAAATATCCGGAGGAAAAAGTGGCAGAACTGGATGATCTGCACGAAAGGCACGACGTGGTGTTCAACTTCGGTCGTAACGGTGCAGAACTCCAGCCGGCAGAGAAGAGAAAATGAGTGATTGAAACAATTAAGAAAGAACCGCAATTAAAACAGGTTGGCTTCACTCTGCAAATATTGGGTCGGAACAATATCATGGCACTGTTTATCCATAAAGATCATGCACGACTCGCGGCAAACATCCAATCCATAAATTGTAGTGGTTCAGTCTGCACTATAACCAAATGGAAAAAATTGACTGCTCAAAGACAGAACCCGATTTTCACAGTGTCTCACAAACAGACTCTGTTGAAGGAGAACTTTTGGGTGCAATTTGATAACATCCAGCCGAGCTTTCATGGTCTACTGGTGAACATATTAGAGAGACAATATACCGCAAACTTGATCCTCAAGTGGATCCTACCAACACTGGAATTCCTGGCACCACACTGTGGCACTATGACGGCGGTGACTGAAGTCAGAACTGACGACCCTCCGGTGTTCCCACCGACCTGGAAGTTCCAGATTGAAAACAGAGTGGTAGAGGTTAGAGTCTCGACCAAAGATTCCCCAAGCTGCTTCCGCTGCAGAGAGCGAGGACATTTGGGAACAGACCCGACTGTCCCAAGTTTCGGAAACAGTTAAAAGAGCGGAAGCTCCTCCCCAATATGATGGTGGAAGTGGAAGATGCCCCAGGCACCTGGTTCATCGCCGACTCCAACTACGATGGGTGGGTGTTTGACGATAACCTGGAGGAACCAGATTGGGTCTGGCACTACGCCGACCAGGCCCGACAATGAAAAAACCCAACATCTTCCCCCCAGCCGACAGCAGATGGCAAAAGAGAGCAACGGGGAAAGTGGCAGGGAACCCAACGAAAATTAGAACCGACCCTCTGATGGACTCCCGGGTGATCAGGGAGGAAAAGGCCCGGGAAGACTTACTATGTGACTTGGAAGCGGCCAGGGACCAAACAATGCAAGAATTCAACAAGCAATCAACTTCCTTCCGAGCAATGCTGAAAAATCTGGAACAAGCTGAAATCCGAAAAAAGGGCAAGGCGCACATGGAAAACAAACGCAGTTTGAACAATGACGTAGTGCAGGAGACTGCGGAAGGTGGCCTCAAGAAAAGGAGGGCAATGGACACAAAAGGGAGGGAGGGAGTGATACGGTCGAAGGCAGAGGAGGACAATCGTGGCAAGATGACAGACCCCCAGGGAATGGGGTCATGTAGCGTGGCAGATGGAAGCAACAGTGAGGCAGGGGGCTCAACCACAAACAGTGAAAACGCCCCCCCGCGCTCCTTGCAG